GTTTTCAAGAGGCCCCCAACTAGATGCCGTGACGATCTGGTAAGATATGCAGGATGTCGATAGATGTGGTTTAGGACCGTGCTTTGTGGCATTCCTTGTGGGAGGCCTATGTACAGCAGTGGACTTGTGTGATGGAAACGTACAAATGTCAGAATGAAAATACTGGTACAAGTGTTTACGGGTAAAATTAAGGTGATATATTTGAATTTAATTACAATTACATTATATTACCTACAAACGTCAATGTAATAGATTTTTGACACATGTTGTCTGGTTGTTAAAATACAATATTAAACTTATGTTAGTAGTTTAATTTCTAGCAATAATACGAGTACTTCAAAAAGTTATACTTTGCGATAAAATTTCTGCAATAATATACGCACGGGAAGGTACGCGCATGAGATAATAAATTAGGATATTTTTTGCAATAGCTTCCGTTACCGTTAGTCTATTAAAGTCCGCATTGGAAACGGGTTGGCAATCACAGTTTTATTTTTATTTTTAGTCGTTATTAGGAAGACGCTGCATACTTGGTAGACAGGTTCTTTCATACTATTTTGAGTTGTTTTCTGGAAGATCTTACTGCTCGTCTCTAGAACCAAGAGACTATTTCCTATATTCGTCTCTTACGAATATAGGAAAATTAAATACTGGTGAAAAAAGGATGGCGCACTATTTCGTAACTTCACTACACTACACTTATAGATTCAAGGGAATTACATCATTACAATCCTTTTTTTATCAGTAAGTGATACCTGCATACTCTTGTATATAGATTATAACCTTGCTAGTCACTCGTAGCAGAACTGACAATAAAGCACATGTTTCTTAAAAAAATAATGATTAAATGAAAAATTGGCTGAGTGCGTACTTAAGTACCCGGGCGACCCAGCCTTGCTCGGAGTTACAAAAATATAATTTTCTCAGGAATGACACCTATCTAGATAAACTTTGAAAAGTAAAACATTATCTAGATATGAAATTTCATTGAAATCGCTTAAGCCCTTTCCGAAAAACTGATTACATATATATTCATTACAGCCTATAAATGTCCACTGCTGAACATACACCTCCCCAATAGATTACCTTATTGGAGGGATTTTGACCTAGTTTCCACGCTTGGCAAGTGGGTTTTATTATTTTGATTTGTTTTAAGGAAAATGCTACTGCCTATCTCCAATTTCAGATTTCCTTTGTCGCCTCGTAGTGAATACCTATTCTAACACCGCCCAAACATGGTTAACCACGAAATTTAATTGCAATATTTAATTTTTACATTGTGTTTATGTGGTCTCATGAGAAAAGGTGATCATTGTAACACATACCACAAATAATAAAATTTTACATAAAAATTTAGTAATCTTTTATGTCATATTACATGCTAAAATAATTTTTATTCACTCTTGAGGACTGCCCACCGCCGCCGTTACCGAGATGTGAACGAGAACGAAATTACATATATTTCTTGCCGAGATCAAGATGACATGACGGCGATCGTTTGTCCACCGCGACGATCTCGGTAGTTCAGTCAATTTGTTGTAGCCGTCATGCGTGGTAGTGGGTAGAAATAATTTTAAATTAAAAAAATTTGTATAACTGACTTCAGTATAAATTATTAGGAATAACTCAAAAAAAAATTACTCAAACCTTGGTTAAATTTATATGGGACCATGTGAAGCAACAGCTTTCAAATAAAAAAAGAATCATCGAAATCGGTTCACCCAGTAAAAATTAATAAGGTAACACACAAAAAAAACATATAGTCGAATGGAGTACCGCCTCCTATTTGAAGTCGAGTTCGAAGGCGTAGGGGATGCAAAGAATTTTTGATTGAAGACGTGAAAGATACATCACATGAGTGTTTTATGTACTTTATGACAAGTTACAGGGGCATGACGAAATGTTTTTGAATATTTTTTTTATATGAGAGGAGGCAAACGAGCGGCTCATCTGATGGTAAGTGACTACCGCCACCCATGAACAACTGCAGCACCAGGGCATTTGCAAATTTGCGTTGCCGGGCTTTTAAAACAGAGTAAGCTCTTTTCTTAGTCGTATCGGTTCGGTAAAATCACTGGTGGTAGTCGATTCTACAAGGGAGTTGTGGGAGGAAGGACACTTCCTGTAAATCGCACAGTGGTACATCGCCAAACATCCAGATGGTATGGATGTTATCTTGAGTTTTGTCGCGATGTGCGATGGTGAAATTGACCGGCTGGAATTAGTCCGAACATTTCCTCACAGTATTTCCCTTTGTACATACGATAGAATACGCAAAGAGATGCAACATCTCTTCGCAGCACCAGTGAGTCACGCCGATCAAAAAGAACACGGTCGCTGACAATTCCAACCGCTCTGCGCTAGATGCGATGAAAACTGGGGAACCCCAGCCCAGAGATGGGAACAGTATTCCATGTGAGGCCGAACCTGCGCCTTGTAAAGTGGCAGGCGGTGTGCTGGCTTGTGTGCTTCTCTTCCAAGTGACTACGAAGTGCATGTCACTCAATATGTCAACATCGAGGATTCCGATACTGGCTAAGGCAACAAGGGGACTGCCTTGAAACTGAGGAGATACCAAAGATATTTTTTGTATTTTTATAGGATGTCCACAACTACGTTCCCTTGAAAACAAAAAACCGGTGCGGTGTGACATCACAGTATCGGCATAGATAGACAAGTTTAAACGTGTTTTCTATTGCCACTACAATCTCGACACAATCTCGGGCCAAGTTCTAGCGTTCGGGCCGATATACTCTAAACTTCGGCGGCCGGGATGACGGCGCTCAGGTGACGGGCTTGCGGTGGACAGGCAGCTGTAGTAAATGTATATGTCGCTACCTCGGCGTTGACATCTCGTTCTCGTTGACGTCTGGCTGACGGTGGCGGCGGAGTCTGAATAAGAAGCCCGAAACCGCTAATAAATAGTTCAAAAAATAAATAATTCAAATCCATCCATCCATTACAGCCAATAATAGTCCACTGCTAAACATAGTGATATTGATTTTCTATTCCATTTCTTGTAATAAAATTTTGACGACGTTACCAATAACGTTGAGGAGTTAACTCACCATGGCTTTAGGGTATCATTATGATCATACTAATCTCAACCTGTATACTAATTTCAATAACGATATCACTGTTTCTTCGCTAAGACATTCTGCTTGCATCATGATGGTCCACAGGGCTTCATTATAGTTAGTTAATTGTTTTATTTTCTTCTTCTTCGTCATCGTCATCACATTGAAATGCCTAGAGCTGGAGATGAGAGTCGACTTGCACTTTTGATGACTTATATATAACTAATTTTTAAAATATATAATAATTATTTAAATTACACAAGGATAGACCCCCTATCGATTTTGGAATGGTTATGAAACCCTTTGATTGTGCTCCGGGCTACTCTGGTAAGTGTTGGTGGACTTTTACATGTCTTCGACGAACTTTATTTGCTCAAATATATTCAGTTTTTTACGGTGTTTTGAAGGCATTTTATCAAACAAAAAGTATAAATTATTTTCGTTTCAACTTCTGTAATATGTGCATTCCATGTCAACTTGCAATTCATGATGATGCCCAGATTCTCAACTGTATCTAAAATGCTTATTGGGATACCATTAATTTGCTGTGTTGAGAGTGAAGAAAAATCAAATAAGCTACGAATAAACATTGTGTCTACAGTAACTGTACAGTCCATATGATCTAGACCACTCATTGATTTATTTAGATCTTTATTTATTTCAAATATTGCTAAATTTGCTTCAGTCACTAGAAAATGACGATACAGCTGCAAATCGTCTGCATAGAGATGGAAGTTTTAAGATATCAACTGAGTGATACGGGTAATAAAGGAAAAGAGTAAAGGAGAAAAGATGCCGCCTTGAGGTACACCCGTAGTTAAGGTTAGTTAAGGTTAAGGTTACCACTTAGGTAAAGTTTCATTTGAACGAGTACACTGAGAGTAACGGCTACGGAAGTCGGAATCAAATCATTGAATAGTTGAAGGAGACACATTAATAGAAATATAATGAGAATGCGAAGAGGAATATCGAAATCAATATAATTGAATGTACTTCTGAAGTTTAGCAGCACAAGTACCGTTAAGTATTTTTAATCTATACCCCCACCTGATATCATATGAAGAACAGTAGTTGTACTGTAGCCAGGCCTAAAATTAGATTGAAATGTATTTAAGATATTGTTCGATGATAGAATAGAAATAGGCCGATAATGAGTTGTAAATAAAGGTAAAAACAACAAAAAAAATAGAGAGAAATTAAAGATATGAGTAATAGTAAGAAGGAAAAAGAGAAGAATTAACTTAATTTTTAGAGCAAATCTTATAATTTCCAAAGACGAAATTGCAAGGATGGATCGCTGAGAACGTTCTGTATCTATATATTCCGTACGAGAAGTGAAATTATACGGAGAATAATTAGACTTTGGGGAATTGAATAATTCGAGTAGGGCATTTTGCTTTAGCGAATGATGAAACTATATAAAATGTTCGTTGAGACTATCTAAGTTATTTCACATTCCACACTAGCAGAACAGTTTCGAGCTCCAACAAATCTCAAAAAACTTCAAGCTTATGCAGTATCGCAGCTTGTGAGGGTATCATGAAAATAACACCTTATAGCATCTCTAAACAAATGATTGGAGCAATTCCATAGTATATTGTAATTGAGTTCAAAGTAATATCGCTTATATTTTCTTTTAGTTTTGTCCATACACGCATTAAATCTTTTATATCAGATGTGATCCATAACGCAGGGTTATGTCTTATTTTCACACGTTTTATTGATGAATATATTATATAGATTTAAAATGAGAGAATTAAAGTTAACCGCCTTCTTTAGATGTCTAATTTAGTAAGTATGATTAAACAACACTAGGAGTACAAAACATTAATTTCGTTTATTTGCATAATTTTCACATAAAATGTAGATAATAAAATAATATAAATGACCGAGTTGGATGTTTAAAATGTTGTTAGCTTAATTTTATATTCCCAAAATAGCTGACAAGTCCAATTCAGCCAGTATTTGGTTGCCAACTTCTAGTACAGTGGTGCTAAGAAGTTCTGTTATTTCTTCCTAAAATGGAATAAAATTAACCAATTACTATATGAAATATATAATTTTACATTAATATTTAAAAATATTAATTCAAGGCTATTTTTAAAAATAAAAGTATATGTGATTTGAAAAATATGCATACCTCGAAAAACTCAAGCACTTCTGAGACAAGATTTTGCAAAAAACGACTGATGAAGTCACTGAGTACTGGATCGTTAAACAAGCCAGTAATTTTTGGCTGAAAGAATAAACCGATTATATCAATAAAAATATTTTTATATATTGGTAAAAATATATCTGTCAACCTTATAGATATGGCCTGGTGTTAGCGGCGTCGACGAGTTTGGGCGCCACGGATTTTTATGTAAGAAAAGTGCTGGTACGTTGTCTCGTCATGGTTCTCTGAGCAATTTTATCCGAAGAGTCCTTGATTTTGAAGCCTTGTGGAATCTTTAGAGATGATAGCAAGAGACCCGACGGTATGATTTTGGTCATACAATAATGGATATTTACGTATCTTTACTTATTGAAAATAGTAAGTCACTGATTTTATTTATAACACGCTTCTTTTAGGTATTTTCTCTAAATGTTATTTAATTATTGTGATAAAAAAAATAGTGCCGAAAGTGTCTGACTAATAATTCTAATGATGATGCCACACTTGTCGGGAAGATTGGTAGCCGTATTTCTTTTTTAATTTTCATTTGTTATCAGAAATTCATTTGTTCCCAGAGTCGCCTCATACGACACCAACAGGATGATATGGGGTAGTAGACATTATAACGATGCCACTACACAATTTTCTTAATTATTCAGTTTTCATTATTCCGATTTTAGAAGTTTGTATGTGTTATTTATAATTGTATGACAAATGCCTCTACAATACGAGAGAATTTTTCTAATGTAAAGGTAACTTTCATAAAAGAAAATATTATGACTCGAGCAATATCGCTTAAAAGCCGTATACTGTATTCTTCTGTAGCTTATTCTTAAAGTTTACAAAAACAAAAATATTACTATACCTCAAATGAAGCAAGCGAGACATTAATCCGGCACTCCAGCAAGTTTAAGTAAAATCCTTCAGAAAGAGTTATGGACATAAGCAAGTTTGTCCGGATACGCGGTTCCACTATCCTTATCCTAAAACAAGCAATTAATTAGAACACTTATAGCAGTGGGTATGAAACGAATTCGTTGTCGAAATTAACGGCTTGAGTCATCAATTGTTAGATATCGGATTTAGTAATGTTAGCTTAATGTACCCTTCAAACCAAAACTAAGTAATGTTTTCATACTACTGCTTGGCAATGGAAATAGAAGTAGATTTTTTTATTTAATATAGGTTATAAATAATACTTATTGAAAGTTACTATTTCGTTAAATTTACCACTGATTCGGAAAATACGTATGTCCTGGGAAGAGCCAGTAAGAAACCCAGTGGGACTTTTAAAAAAAATGGAACAGCTTGCAATCATAATAGTGTAATTGATTAATTCTTAATCTTCAAGTGGTACTTTATATGTGAAATACAATTTTTAAACAATAAAAACACTTACGTAGCGTCACCTTTTCCGAAAATAGTTCCTCCAAAAATTGACAAATTAAGGTCATAGCCACCTGAAAAAATATTAAGTAGATCAGTTAATTTATAATTATCAGATAAAATTACTCATTCTTTAAGAGTCTGTAAAAATATAGTTTTACTTTATAAGGATTCTAAAATAATTTTAATTGATTTTCTCAAAGTATACTTAAGAAAAGTTTTTTAAGAGAAATTTGGTCTGGAAGAGATTATTATTATTATTATTATTACATTTAGGAAAATATAATCATAAGGGTGATCTGGTGTTTTATACAAGTTTGTCTCTTTTGAAGGGAATTCTTTAATGATTGACATCAGTATGTCGTCTTGAAAGGTAGCATGCAAGTTGGGATTGGATAGAAAATGTAACTACAACGATGACGTGAAGCTGTAATCTGGATGGTCTCCTCAATACTAAACTACATCGCCGGAAATTTGATATTTATGTTGAATATGATGACCTTATACTCTATCCAAAATCGTCATGTCTCAATAGAATTATAAACGCATTCTTCGTGGTATATAGCCACCACAGTCAGCCTACTAATCCGTTGGGTCGGTTAATATTGACATCCTGCGTACACCAATGTTACGGACTCTATCAAACAGAAAACCTCGAGCATAGTGCCATCCAATAGCTCGTTGCGTGAACAATGAGCTTTTTCGTGTAAAGCATCGCTGGCAATACGCACTGATTGTCAATTTTTATTTTTAAATTCGGAACTATATTGGACAAGACAATCTACCACAGAGCCTATCTCGAACGGTACCTAGCCTAGTTGGACGTGTTGTTCGGAGCTCCAATAATCTAATCTAAAATTATGTTAAAGTTGTTAAAAAACCCCTTGCGCACATTCGCTCTATAAATTATCGAGCAACGTAATTTTTAACAACTATAATATAATAGATTTCCGCAAAGTATTGCATGATTCTATTAATCATCTAAAATTATGTCCTATATAGGTAGACTTACGTCGAAAGTAAGGGTTTAATAAGACTAAATATCCGCTACGCTGCTTCGGTACGAGTAAGTTTACTTCATTGTCCTTGAAATATTTAATTTCTTAGATATATGCTATTTTATACGATTTTATATATGTATTATGTGTAACATCTTTTCTCTCGCTTTCTTGAAATATGTGGGAGTGCGTTCGTGAAAAGAGACAGCAGTGTGTAACAGAAAGCCGGGGTAGCGTGCGCTATTTATAATACAAGTTTTCACATTTTTCTTATAAAATTTTGCTCATATTTTCTAAACGGGTTATTCGATTTTCGTAATTCTAATTGAAATATTAGTTCTAGACCCAAACCTATTTTTTCACACTAAAATTGTTGAAATATCTTTACAAACAAATATTCCAAAAAAAAAAAATACAAAAATTCTAACAACATTCAAAGGTCTTCAAACTTACTTTAGTCAGTCCTATTATATTACTATAGGAAACCCAATAACAAATTTAAGTTAAATAGTCTTATTAGTTAAATAAAATACAATTATAATTAAAGAAAAATTATTCTTCGTTACGAAAAATCATTTCAAATAATACTTGAATATATTTTAAGAATTATAATGTTGATTTTGCGTATTACCAAGGTGAGAGGTCAGATGTAACACTACTCTGTCAAGAAAGCTATTATCAATAATACAACAATACACAAAAATGTTAGTTATTCATCCATTTTTATTTTATCACCTTCAAAATATGCTCCTTCAGAAAAAATACACTTTCGCCAAGGAATAATCCAATCATCAAAACATTTTTTAAACGCTTTTTCCGGAATTGAGTTCAGTTCTCGCTGCGAATTCTCCTTTATGTCTTCTACCGAATGAAAATTGGTGCTACGAACGGAGCCATATCTTGTAAATAATGTGGTTGCTAAATGGTATTTTTTGAGCTATTGGAAAAAAATCGTTCACAATGATGGCCTTCTGCGAAGGCGCATTATCGTGGAGCAAAATCCAAGAATTTTCTTTCCACAAATCTGGCCTTTTTCGTCTAATTTGTTCTCTTAAATGCCTTATAACGCTCAAATAATATCTTTATTTAGTGTTTGACCTCCCGGCATGAATTCCGAGTGCACAACACTGCGATATTCAAAGAAAACAGTCAACATGACTTTGACGTTTGATCGACTTTGGCGTGGTTTCTTCGGTTTCGGTTCAGTTGGAAGGCACCACTCCGAAGCTTGTTGTCTAGTTTGCATGTCAAACTCGTAAACCCACGTCTCGTCACCAACAACAATGCGTTCCATGAATGTTGGGTCGGAATTGACTCGTCCTAACATGTCCCCACTGACTACTATGCGATTGAGTTTTTGGAGAAAATTCGGACCTTTTGGGACTAGCCGAGCGGCAACATGTTTCATACCCAAGTGATTATTCAAAATAGTACGGATCGACTCGTGAGACACAAAAAGTTCAGCGACTATCTCTTACAAACTTTAATAAAGATTTTCAATTAATATTTCTTTCACTTTTGCGATGTTAACTTATGTCGCAGACGTTGATGGCCTACCAGAGCGAGGCAAATATTCCATGACATCTCCACCGCTTTAAACGCTTTGTACCACTAATAAGCACGTGTTTTTGATAAAGTCAATTCACTGTAAGCCTTCTGTAACATTTTCAGTGACTCAGAACACGAAATTCCATTGGCGATGCAAAATTTAAGACAAACTCTTTGTTCGATGTTTTTGTCTATTGTGAAATTCGCAATACACACTAGATATGATATAACTAAAAATACAAAATGGAAAACAGTTGTGCCAATCTAACAACAAAGAAAAACATTTTATTTGGAACCATAAAAAAATTATCCATTCCTGATACTTTTTGGACACATTTGCGACTTCTGTAAGGCTCACTCGTTTTTTTTTTAATATCATAGGATTTTATTTTTCATACATATGACCATTGTAAAAAAGAACAAACAAATATTGCTAGGAATTTTCAAGAGTTTAAATAAATATTTTTCAGATATCTGAAGTCCTTTGGGTGTTCTTCAAACGTCGCACTTGAGATACGTGACAGTCATTGAAATTCTTATTCTTGCGATGTGAATGTTTCCATCCATATAATACATAATAAAATCTTTAATGAGAACGCATTAATCGAAATACTATGTAAGTGGTAAATCCACTTACTTCGACATCACATAACCTCTCATTCCGAGCAAGAAGGTGCCAACCCCCCCCCCACCCCCCACCCGCTCTTTCTTACGCCACTGAGGCTTTCAATTTTCAAATATGTTTTAATCGAAGCTCCGCAGCTATAACATAAATTATTCCGTTGGATAAAGGAACTCGTGAAATTTATCTTCACTTCGCTCTTAAAACTCCTAACGTGAAATGTCCATTAACACTGATGTTAATATCGGCACTAGTTTAAAAAAAAAATCTTATTCCATTTCCGTGTATTTAAGTATTGTGGAATTTTGCGTAAAATTTTTTGTCTGGGACTTATAGGTACCATGTCTCTGTGAGATTTTATTATTATTTATTTTATTTTTTATTTGCTTGGAAAACTTACAGCTAATTTACAAAAATAATATAATTATAACAAAAATGAAGGCCATTTACAAGTTTTCACTTATATAATACTTTATATGACAAGAGTGTGTCAGAAGAGATATAGTAACAGTATACTTAAATATAAATTACATTATCAAAAAGAAAAGAAGTTGTTAGAAAGTAAACGCCTAAGTTGGATAACGCTGGAGTGAAATAAATCAATATCCACATTGTGAGTATGTGCTATAGCATTAAAAGATCTGCATGATCGAATAATAAAAGAGTTTTTCCTGTAATTACTTTTCACGCATGGTACATATAAAAGTGTAGGTTTCCGCAAACCAGATGATGAGGTGTGTAAACCTATTTTACTTAATAGTTCAGGACAATCAATATTACCATTCATAATTTTAAAGAGGAAGGAGAGATCTGCAATATTTCTACGCTCATATAAAGGTAATATGTGATTTTTTTTACATCGAAGAGTATAGCTGGGTATAAACTTTTTTGATTTAAATTGAAGAAAACGCAAAAATCTTTTTTGTATGCGCTCTATCCTATCCACATATTCATTATATTTTGGATTCCAAATTTCAGAACCATATTCCAAATGGCTGCGTACAAAAGCGCAATATAGAATTTTGAAGGTTTTTATGCTTTTAAAATCTGCCGATAACCTTAATATGAAACCCAGCGCTTTGTTAGCCTTTGTAACGATGTTATCAACGTGATTGTCAAACAGCAATTTAGAGTCAAAAGTAACACCGAGATCTTTGATAGTGCTGGTTCTATTTATAGAAATATGGTTTAATTTATAATTATAAATTATAGGATTAGGTTTACGAGTAAATGAGCAGATAAAACATTTGGAAACATTCAGATCGAGTTTATTGTTAGAACAGTATGCTTCTAAATTGAAGAGATCCTTTTGAAGGCTAGAACAACTTTCCAAACTTGTAATAGGACATAAGATTTTCATATCGTCAGCGTAAAGAATAATCTTGGAATTTTTAAAACACGTGTCGATATCATTGATAAAAATTAAGAAGAGCAAGGGCCCCAATAGGGATCCTTGTGGTACGCCAGACGATATATGGATTGCAGACGAACGATATCCACCAAGGACGACAGATTGACTTCGATTTCTGATGTATGACGTAAACCATCGGAATAAGTCCCCCCTGATACCCATTGCAAGGAGTTTACGTAAAAGAATTAAATGATCGATTCTGTCGAATGCTTTGCAGTAGTCTGTATAGACTACATCTACTTGTGCTGGTTTAGACATAAAGCTAGTTAGATAGTCGGAACAAATAACAAGGTTTGACACGGTAGATCTGTTTTTTAAGAAACCATGTTGATTTTCACTAAATGAGTGGCGAAGGGAAGAGTACACCTGGTTGTAAATTATTTTTTCAAATACTTTAGCGAATAAACAGAGCTTGGAAATGGGACGATAGTTTTGTACCTCATCCTTAGGTCCTTTTTTGTAAATTGGAGTAATAAACGCACTTTTCCAAATATTTGGAAAAATGCCTTCCTTTAAGGAACGGCGGTACAGAATACTCAGAGGCAAAGTAAGAGAGTCCGCACACCGTATGATTAAGATAGCCGGGATACCATCTGGTCCAGCAGACTTGTACAGGTCTATAGCCTTTAAAAGTCTGGATACCTCTGCTTCTTGCACCTCGATGGAACTGATATCAATAGAAGATTGATCAATTTGCGAGTCAATAATATTAAAATTAATTGTGTCGGAATCGTTAAGAAAATTAGATTTAAAAAACTGATTGAAAAAATCACAAATTACTTCACCTTTGCCTGAAGAATACTGTCTGAATTTCATAATAGAAGGATATGAACTTGGAGATTTTTTACTCTTAACAAAGTTCCAGAAGGCTTTCGGTGATTTGCTTATATTATTTTCTGTATCACGAATGTAAGCTTCGTACATACTTTTTTCAAGAACCTTCCCACGTTCTCGTAATAAAACAAAAGAATCAAGGTCGGAAGTATTTCCATATTTTTTATACTTTGAGTGATACTTAAATTTTTCTTTTAAGATTTTAATCAAGGGTGTTTTATACCAGGGAGGAAATCTGGAAGATGATTTTACAGTTTTGCAAGGGACATGTTTGTTAATTAGCATTTGTAACTTATCATACAGTAAGGATACAGCCTCCTCTAAAGAACCCATTCTGAGGCAACTGGACCAGTCCGTATTATCAAGTTGTTGACATATTTTAGTGTAATCTGCAAAATTATACAGGAATTTTGTTCTGGTTTGCGGTGAAAGCGTATTTTGGTGGATGAAGTCAACAGATATACATAGTGCTATGTGATGAGGATCTTCCGAAACTAAAGGGTCTATACATTTATGAACATTTATAAAATTGTTGCAGAAAATTAGATCCAGAATTCTGTTGTTACAGTTTAGTTGACTGTTATATTATTACTGTTATATTATTTATAACAATAAGCGTGTTTTTCCTATGCATGTCGTAAGATGCAAGGCGACTAATGGGATATTGGGTTTAAAATTGCGTAGACTATAGGCATACACAAGATAATTAGCCTTTTTTGGCTAAACGTGGTCCGTATGGTTCGCTGCTCTTTAATTGCCTATTCTCGCGGTGTCTACAGGTGACTTATATATGAATAACTGCTACTTACTTACTATATATCTCATAACAACAATTTCTATATATCACAGAAGAAATGATCTCAAGTTAATATGAGAACTTACCTACACCAACGTCAATAACTGGGACGGAACCGTCTAAAATGATTCTGTAACGCTGAAGTAGCAATGAAGTCATTGTAACACTAAGTTCATTTATTTCAAAAGTACTTAATTTGGCTACATTCAGGTCGTTGATGGTAACATGCCTGAAAAAAAAATTTACAATAAAGCATTTATTATACAATAAAGAAATTGCTTTTTACGGATAAGTAAGGTGAAGTTGAAGGCTCCGTGGCGCAGTGTCTTAGTAATTGAGTTGCAGTGCTAAGGGCCGCGGTTTCGAATCCCGCACAAAACAAGTATATGTATGGCCTACAAATAATTGTTCCGTGTCTGGATGTTTGTCCTTGTGCAATTAATGTTTGTAAACTTCCACCACGATACAGGACAAAATCCTAGTGTGGAGGTTACGTTTTTATAAAAAAGGGAAAAAAAAGAAGTGGCCATATAGCTAGAAGAACCGACAACTGATGGGGAAGAAAGGTTCTCAAGCATTTTTTTTTATAGGAGAGGGGGCAAACGAGCATGCGGCTCACCTGATGGTAAGTGACTACCGCCGCCCATGAACAACTGTAACATCAGGGAGGGAATTGCAGATGCGTTGCCGGCCTGTTAAAAAGGAGTACGCTCTTTTCTTGAAGGTCCGTAAGTCGTATCGGTCCGGAAAAATCGCTGATGGTAATCAATTCCACAAGGAAGTCGTGCGAGGAAGAAAACATCTTCTAAATCGCACAGTGGTGGACCGCCAATCATCCAGATGGTGTGGATGTTATCGAGACTTCTGCCGCGATGTGCGTTCGTGAAATTTGGCGGCTGGGATTAAGCCGAACAATTCCTCAGAGCACTCCCCATGGTAGATGCGAAAGAAAATGCAAAGGGATGAAACATCTCTTCGCAGTGCCAATGAATCGAGTCGATCGGAAAGGACTCGGTCGTCGACGATTCGAGCCGCTCTGCGCTGGATGCGGTCAAGTGGAAGGAGCTGGCACTGGGGAGCCCCTGCTCAGAGATAGCAACAGTATTCCATATGAGGCCGAACTTGCGCCTTGTAAAGTTGCAGGCGGCGTGCCGGCATGAAATACTGTCCCGCTCTGCTGAGCACGCCAAGCTTTTTAGAGGCCAATTTGGCCTTCTCTTACAAGTGACCACTAAACTGCACGTCACTCGATACGTCGACTTCGAGGATTCTGATACTGGCTGAGGCAAGAAAGGGAGTGCCTTGAAACTGAGGAGATACGACAAAGGGGTTCTTTTTAGCGGTAAACGCACAAACTTGTGTCTTTTGAGGATTAAACTGGACTAGATTTAGGCGCCCCCAATCCGAGACTTTGTTCAGCAAAGACTCGACTTCAGACACAAGTTAATTCGGGTACTCGGCGACGTTTTCCCGAGAAATATTGGCACAGCCGGTGTATAGAGCATCACCAGTGCTGTCATCCGCATAGCAATGAATGTTACCAGTTAGCAACATATCATTAATATGCAGAAGAAACAGCGTTGGTGATAGCACACAGTCTTGTGGAACACCAGCGTTAATAGGCTTGTAGTCAGAGCATGCACCGTCTACAACGACCTTGATGCTCCGATCTGCAAGGAAGCTGGTGATCCAATTGCACAATTTCTCGGGAAGCCCACAGGAAGGGAGCTTTGAAAGAAGCGCTTTGTGCCAAACCCGATCGAAGGCCTTCGCAATGTCCATACTAACGGCCAACGCCTCCCCCTTGGACTCTACTGCCTCCGCCCATCTATGGGTCAGGTAGACCAGAAGATCACCAGCTGATCGACCACGACGAAAACCGTATTGGCGGTCACTAATCAGCTGGTGATCCTCAAGGTACCGGATGAGCTGGCAATTAATAATGGATTCCATTATTTTGGAGAACAAGGAGGTGATCGCGATAGGCCTATAGTTGGATGGGTCTGAGCGGTCGCCTTTTTTAGGGATCGGGTGGACAAAAGCTGTCTTCCATGAATTCGGAACTACGCCTTGGGAGTAGGAGTATCGGAGAAGCCGCATTAGGACCGGTGCCAACTCCGGAGCACACGTCCTCAGCACAATTGGGGGGATTCCGTCAAGCCCACTCGACTTCTGGATATCCAGGGAGAGGAGTGCTTTGCGAACCAAGCGCTGTGAGAACAGCACATCCGGCATGGAGCACTCACACCGCGGGATGGTCGGCGGTGTTTTCCCCTCGTCATCAAGAGTCGAGTTGGACACAAAATGGGAGCCTAAAAGGTCGGCTTTGTCTTTTGCGGCTTGGGCCAATGAGTCATCCTCCCTATGCAGAGATGGTAGTGATGGCTTACAGAAATTCCCTTGGACAGCCTTGGCGAGAGACCAGAATGCACGGGTTCCCGAAGGAAGGTGAACTAGTTTCTCGCTAATTCTGCCTATGTGCTCTGACTTTGACTTGGCAATAACTCTTTTGAAGGACCTGGAGGCGAAGTTATACTTCTTTTTAAGTGTGCTGGTATTTACATCCCGAGTCGCCGAAGCCGCAGCCCAGGCTTGATAACACTCCTGCTTACTGCGTAATGCAGTCTTACAGGAGCGACCAAACCAAGGCTGAGATCAAGGATGGGTACCACAGATGATGGAATAAATAGTTCCATTCCCTGTAACGCCACATCAGTGACAGAGTCAGCAACAACGCTGGGATCATCCGGCGTGAAGCAAACCCGCCCCCATGGGTAGGATGCAAAGAAAGACCGCATTCCGTCCCAATCCGCCGACCTGTAATGCCAAACACGGCGGCAACTTGCAGAACGCAACCGCGAAGGGAGCGTGAGTGGCACCATACTCCGGATCAGACAATGGTCCGAAGAGCCAAGAAGGGCATCGACGGAAACCTGATATCCGTCCGGATGAGAGGTCAGCAGAAGGTCCAACAGGGAAGGTGTATGATGCTCCACATCTGGAATCTGCGTAGGCGAAGTAACCAGTTGTGTCAGACCATATGCCAAGGCAAAGTCATAAACAGATCTCCCCACATGATCGGTTAAACGTGATCCGAGCCATTCGGCATGGTGGGCGTTAAAATCGCCAAGGATCACGATCTCTGCGGATGGGACCTGTTGTAGCAAGAAATCTGTAGCCATTTGGACGCGGTCGATGAGTCGGTCTGTTTCAGCATTACCGCTATGGGACCTATAGAGGCACCCGTAGACGCGCGGATGGTCGCCGCTGTCTACGCGTAGCCAAAGGATGGACAGGTTCGAACCTTCAAGACTGCCGGGGCATCGAGAACAGATGTCCTCTCTGACATACATTCAAACTCCAGCCCGAGGCACAAAGGAGTGCACCAATTTGTAGCCCGGGTAGGAGAGATACGAAATATCAGCCGGAGAGGAAACTTGCGTCTCGTTCAGAAAGAGCAAGACCGGCTTCGCCGTCTCGAGATGGTAGTGGACGGCGTTTAGGTTAGAGTGAAGTCCCCTGATGTTGCAGAAATTCACGGATAGCGTGGCAGGGGTCGCCTTGGTATTGTTGCTCAGTTTGCCCCGAGCAGTTATGTTTTTGAGCGGAATTTGTACCGATAAGTGAAATTTAAAGCGGCCACCCACTTGGTGATAAGAGATAGAAAGTCGATAGATACAAGTGGCTCGAGACCGTGCTTTGTGGCATTCTTTCGGGAGGCTTATGTTCAACAGTGGACTTGTGAAAGCCTGTAATGATCATAATGATGACTATTTTCACTCAGTATACTAAATATAGTAAATATGTAAATTTACAGCCCATATACGTCTCATAGCTATGCTCAGGCCTTCTATGATTCCTGAGAGGGAGAGAAGTTTTATGTCCCATTGCTGATCACTGCTTCTTCTCATTCCCGAGAGAAATTAGTCCAGAATGCTGCTTGAGTACGTGTTGGTGGACTTAACATGTCCCGAAAACATGGTTTTATTTCTAAAGACATGCATTTTTTACCACTTGGCACGTGGTAAGTCAGTAATTAATATTGTAATAAATAATTTCTTTGGTGTTTATGGGAATCGAGTCCATGTTGCTTGCGTACTTAGTTCCCTAAGAAACCACGACTTAAACCAGATATAACTTTATGTATAATAGATGCCGATAAATTGTGATTAAATACTGTAGCCCATAAACACCTTCATCTGCCCTTGGCTAAGAATCAAAACGCATAATATAACGGGCACGTTGCCAATAAAACGTTATCCGGTTCGCACCAGCCACTATGCGAAATGTTAATATTATTTTCCACTAGTATTCTGTACGGCCGTTCCCTGGTTAAGCCGACCCATTCATGTTGCAGCCATAATCGCTGTATTTTAGCTTCACTATAATCATATTATACAATAAAATAACTAAGTGTCGCTTAGGCCCTTAATCATGCCCAATCACATAATATACCACACAATTTATGACAACCTATAAATTTAACTGATCATGTAATGGTGGTGTAAGAATATCCACTGTCTCATGATGTCCCGTGGGTATCGTAAGAGGCGACTGGCGAGGGAAATAAAACGGAAGATTTACTTTACTAACGTTTTCCTGATGACAACTCAAAATAATAAAATACTTCAGTTGCCATCCCGCTTGCCAGCGTGATAACTACAAGAAATATCCTTTCTATGGGGTAATACATATATGTTCAGTCGTAGACTTTTGTAATGGTGTTATAATAAAGTTGAATATACCATACACCATGAGTGTAATATATTAAGTTTTGCTATATTATACAGGGCTACGTTTTATCATAACACCATCTCGACATTTTCATATCAATTTAATGTGTCACCATAACAACCACAAGCGTGTAGTTAGAAGATAGTTGTTACTAAAGATTTTTCTTTCTGCTTAAATTTTTTTGAACTTACCCAGGTATTATACTAATAGTGTTTTCATCAACATGTATTTCATCTATCTCCAAAGGATCCAAAACGGGAATAGTGTCTGATCCAGTTACCATTAGCTCTCTGAATTCTTCTAATAATGATGAAATTAGTTGCTCCAAAGCGCTGTTCCTGGTGTTTTCCCCTAAAATAATAACAGCACACTGATATTGTTGATCAAGAACTAAACTGATAAAAAAGTAAAAAAGTAGTAAAGTAAAGTACAGCATATAATACGCCACATTCTTGCTCCAATACGTATTGGCCGACTTAACATGCCTTCGTTTTTTTTTTATTTCTCATACATGCAGGTTTCCTCACGATGTTATTCTTCTTCGCCGAAGATTAAGTCGTAATTCGTATTACTGCATACACAGAAGTAGCCAAAACAATATTCAATAAAAAATGATTGCTTTGTATCTTATAGTCACACATGACACTGTTTTATTTTTATGAGAATTACTAATGCAATGTTGATATCTTTATGTTTATAAGTCTTTTGTACGTGTGTTTGTCACTGATCTCTTCTTTAACGTTTAGATAGATTTTGAGGATTTTTTGTGTGCTTTGGATTATGGGTTAGATTCACAATTGGACCAAATCAAATCACTCGTGCAAAGCTAGGGCTGATCACTATTTTAAATTATAATAAGAATCGTATATTTAAAATAAAAAATATTTGGAGAAACGCAATACCCTTACAGTGGCCAAGGATCATTGTTCGCGCTAAACGCTAATTTCGGGAACGAACGCGAGAGGGCGCGCGGCTCAGTGTCATACCGGTTTGACATTCGGTCGTGCGTAAAACGCCCAAGGGCAGTCAATCGTCTGTAAGCGGTGCTGACGTGAGCACGCGGTCAATTCTGTTAGGGAACTCGGAATAATTAGGTGCGGCCCGTAAATATACGGTCTAGGATTTTGTGACGCGCATTCCTGCTGGAGAGCTTCCCGGGACTTATTGGGTCCGACTCAGAATCTGTATAAGTGCATTCGACAATATAAGTTAGTGCGGCCTCTGTATTCTAGAACTAACTGTTGCAACGCGAAACGGTAGTGACCTTTGAACCTGTAAACTCCGTGTGCGTTTTGTGAGTTAACCTTATACCCAGCGATAGTTAGTGGCTTCTGTAAGTTAGTTAATCGTACGATAGAGTTAAGTGACTGTTATCGTGACGAACAAGGAAAGTGAATGTGGACAAAGCCTCGGAGGGCCCCCGCAAGTTGGAGCGGTGTCGACGCCCGGGCTGCTGCCGACGGCTAAGGTCTAGGTTCAATCACCATCAGTCACACCCAGATACACACCACATCACCTTCTTTTCCTTGCACTACACAACCACATGCGACCTGACCGACTCCGGAGGGTCCAGTCGCCTTGGAAATAGGTATGTAAGCTTCGTCTAATTCCTTCCGGTCGACTGGCCGTTGTATAGAACGCTCCCCCATATATTTTAGTGTACTTAGAGAGATTCCACGTGGCCACATTGAGGCCCGACCTACGTTTGCTCGGGAAGTCTTCTGCTTATGGGCCCCAGAGGATTGGATCCTTTAAGGGAGCAACCGTAGGCCGTAACAATCATAATTTATTTTAATTTGAAAATACTTGTTGAAAATAATTTGTAAATAGGATTTCGTACTTTATTTGCTTTATCGAATAAAAATAAGACTAATCCACTTTGCCATCAGTCACATAGGACCTATTTTAAACACCAGTAATCTTAATATTTTTATACTGCCTCATTCACCGCCTAACCTTATATGAAATTCATTAGGGTAGTAAATAAATAGTTTGTTATTGTAACATTTTGAAAGCTGTACAAACTAAGAAACAATTAACATTGAGTGTGATTTTCTTTTTGTTTGTTGATTTAGCTATCGTAAAGCATAAATAGATAAAAACTCTTTAAAACTAAGATTACAATGAGCGTCTATAAGGTAAATTCATCTCACTGTTAGGCACGGTTCTTCATATATTCCTAAGGGGCGTTTAGGTAAGCAGTCCATAGCAATGTCCCAATAATATGGTTTTGAGAAAATCTCATTATCCTCGAAATCTTTTCTTAAATTTAAGATGTGAAGTTTTTTCAGAATGATTTACTACATTGCCGAATACTTATTTAAAAGTAAAAAGAAAGCGAAAACGGCGAGGATCGAACTGAGTTTTCTCGCAAACTGGGATTTTTAGGGCAAGCACATATTCCCTGAGTTACGTAGGCTGATACTATATAATTCAACGGACTGACTGCCTCGTTGATCTAGTGGTCGTAAGCGCATCTATTGATCATATGGTCCAGAGATCGAATCCCGGGTTGAACCAAAATTGGTTATTGATTTTTTCTACCAATATATTTTATGTAGCACCCCGAAGTCAGGAAGTTGGCGGTGTTTTACCCCCAGGCCTAAAAAAGCACGTTGGTCCTATACTTGATCTCTCTTCGAGCGTGTCGAATAGCCGTCCCATCGGACTATGAGAGTGGGAGAATAGTGAGCGCAGACGTATTTACACACAACTCGTGCACTGTAATCTTATCTTGCAAATATGGCTATATTCCTTTGAAATAGGCCGCCGTGACCGAAATACGTTATGGAGGTCATTTAGTTACAACATGCAGTTTGAAATCCTGCACTTCCTTGAATTGTTTTTCTTGGAGTTACAGTTGAGGCGAAGCCATATGTTTTTTTTAAACGTTACTTCCACACTAGGGTTTTCTCCTGTATCGCGGGGGCAGTTTACATACATAGATTTCACAAGGATAAACATCCAGACCCAGAACATTATTTGTAGGCCATATAAATACTTGTACCGTGCGGGATTCGAACCCGCAGCCCTTAGCGCTGCAACTCATTGCTAAGCCACTGCGCCACGGAGCCATCCAAATCAAAATTAGCAAGCAAATTTAGTTCTGGAGCATATGCTGCAAAAAAGTTAGACGCCTTACATGTATGGAAACAGCTAGATTAGTTTATTTTGGGTATTCCTATAGCACAATGTCATACGGAATTTTGATATGACGACTGACATCGAAACAATCTTTGTTTGGCAGAAGATTAATTTATAACCTAGGTCCGAAGGAATGCCTTAGAGAAAATGTTTGGAAGTAAAGACTAGAAATGAGTTGGGGGGTGATTCGAACTTTAGACCTAGTCAGTTTGAATAGCCTATTATGTAAAGGATGTCATGGGGGTCATTGTTGAATAGGTGCAAAAAGTTCTCATGACACTCCTAGGGGGTCAAAATGGCCAAAAACAAAAAAAATATAATTCTTATTTCGGTTATAACTCCGCCTCCTTCGGAGGTTCTTACACAGTCTTTACTTCCTGCATCCCACTTTTTAAGAAATAAATATATTAACTGTGGCCTATCAGTATATTTACGAAAATTTAATGAATGTACAAAAACATTTTTTTTTAAATAGTGATGTACATTTTGTAAATACTAGGAACAAACACAAGCTATAGTTATAGTCAGTAATAAAACTTAAGTTAATTTAAATAAGTATTCTTGTAAGATATATTGAATAAAAATTATTCCATTCTACTCCAGTTATAAAATTATATATAATATATACTATGAATAACTGTAGAGTTGATAACAGTGAAGATGTTATCGTTATCATAAATAATACTGAAATGCATCTACATCTACACTACTATCTACACTATTTTTTTACTATTATAAAGAGGAAAGATTTGTTTGTTTGTTTGAATTGAATAGGCTCCGAAACTATTGGACCGATTTGAAAAATTCTTTCACCATTAGAATCCTACATTATCCCTGATGAACATAGGCTATATAATATTTTCAAAAAAGTTAGGGATCCGTATGAAAACTTCGTTAATGTAACCCAAGGTGTGAAAAAAATACCAAAAAGAATCCTTATATCGCGTACGCTGCGGAAACTATTGATAATAGAGCAAAGTAATGTGCTTCAGTTTTATAGAGGATATCAATATCTATAAAAGCGTCTGCGATACCATATGTTTAACTATTACAGTTATGTCACAATAACTACTTTTTCATGTTAAAATGTGAAATAGTAACGCCGGTACAAACTAGGCCACATTATTCGTATCAGTACCTGTATGCATAACCACCAATTACGTTAACCATGTAATTTTAGTAACATATCTCACTTTTTAAATCCTTGGTTATTCAGCAACCGTCCGTCGTGATGTCTCTCTCGAAGTTCGCATGTCGCAAGGCGCAGACGCGTGATGTACGCGGGTGAAACCGCGGGGCACAGCTAGTTTTTATATAAGAGGGGCAAACTGGGTGAACACGAATTAAATACGAGTTGGCTCTATATTTGAGGATCCTGGTTGAAAGAAGTCGTGGGAGGAAGAAAACTTCTATTCAGTCGCAGAGTCAACCCACCATCTGGATGGTAATCCATCCAGATAGTGTGGATGGTACCGCAACGGACGGACATACATATATTAACATACCTGTAAAGAAAAGTTTCTCTCTCAATGTCTGGACTTCCAACGGTGACGCTGCTACTATGGCTATAGCAGCCGCTATTACAATCGCTAAATGGCGCATATTTAAATCTGTAAAACCCACAATTTCATTTTAGTTAAAAGGGTTTATTTAAGTTTTTTTTTGTGCGTACAGATTATGTTAAATGTTGTGTAACTTGTGTGTTATAACACATCCACATTATGTTACATTGTTTTTCAACATTGTAACATATAACATTACTGTACACATTAGAATGACAATCCTATATAATAATGTTATATGCCATTGTCGTTTGTCGTTCTGCAGTGTTATTCCCAATGTAAAAACTTGTAATAATAAAAATATCATAAAAACGAATTATTTTACCTCTGGAATACCCGCCTCTTTTGTAGAGCGAACCTTAGCTTTATTTAAATAAAACTAATTTTACGGATTTTATCGCGTATATTAACTTATTTGTTATATTCCCGACGTTTCGGGTGCTTTCCAGCATCCGTGGTCACGGGGGACTGAGGTGATTGACGTCCTGCTGTCATAGTTAGCCCGGCTACCTTCAGTTTTTTAATATTAATTTTTGGTTCGATTTACGCAGAATGAGTTTACATCAGGTATACCTCAAAACTTGAAAACGAGACTGTACACCCAGTGCGTGTTGCCAGTGATGACATACGGAACTGAGACGTGGTCCTTCACTGCTGGCCGCATGAGGAAGCTCAAGGTCACTCAGCGAGCTATGGAGAGGGCTATGCTCGGAGTTTCTCTGCGTGATAAACTCAAAAATGAGGATATCCGCAGTAGAACCAGAGTGACCGACATAGCCCAACAGATTAGTAAGCTGAAGTGGCAATGGGCCGGCCATATAGCTCGAAGAACCGACAACCGATGGGGAAGAAAGGTTCTCGAGTGGCAGCCTCGTACCGGCAGGCGAAGTGTAGGGCGTCCCCCTACTAGATGGAGTGACGACCTGGTAAGATATGCAGGAAGTCGATGGATGCAGGTGGCTCAGGACCGTGCTTTGTGGCATTCTTTGGGGGAGGCCTATGTTCAGCAGTGGACTTGTGAAGGGCTGTAATGATGATGATGATGAGCTTACAGTATCTTGAAGTCTAGCAGTGGTATACTTGGGTTTGGAATTGACTTAGTTTTATCCTTTAAAAAGTACACGTGCACGCATAAGTTATATAACATTTTAATCACATGAAATAACACGTTTTATAACATTCAGTCTCCACATTACTGAAACACGTTATATAACAACGTTTTATATAATATGTGTTATATAGTATATAAGCACCTTAAGATAATATAGTTTTCATATAACGGGGGGAGGGGGGGGGATCAAACGAGTACATTTTTATGTTAGTTGCGAAAGCTATTAGCATTTTCGTCACTCGAATATAAGAAAAGGTAAATTTGCAAATTAAATTATAAAAAAATATTAAGAAAAAAAAACTTAAACGTTTTCTGATAAGGTCAGTGACCAAAATTTAAAAAATATAAATATACTCTAAAATAAAATAATTTAAAACTCGTATCAAACGTAGTAAATAGTGTAACGCTATATAAAATTAAATATATTTGTATTATAAAAATTTCCATAAAATCTGATACCATTTATTTCCTACCTTTTGTGTTATTAGACACTTCGCACAATAACAGCAATATATCAAGATTTAAATTTATGTAAACGATATCTTGGAGCCACTGCCAACTTAATTGATAACAATAAAATATATCGTTTAATTAATCTTCTTTATATCTATTTGCTTCTTGCTGATTAACTGATAACTTCACAAAACGAATCAAAACAATAGAGCATGATTATAAACGATAAAACTGAAATATACAAGCTCACGTTTATTCTGAGAGGCTCCTATACTTCCCTGGTGTTACCTGGGTAGGTCTGCCTTCACTTTCTATGGCTAAATGGACCCACTGCGGTTTTTGGTTAAAAGGAAATGCAGAGAACAGATAGCTAGTATGAAGATTCCATGAGAAAACGATGCGAAGGGCACATATGTACCGACAGGATTACTTAATGATCAGTGTAGTTCTGGTAGTAAAAGACTAATTCGAGGTATTTTTACATACAAAACAAGCGAGGGATGGGAGTCAGGGAGGTGTACAAGGAATGTGTGCGAAGCGGTGTAGTTTAACGAGTTATACAACTCGTGATTCATAGCACATCGCTTCATCGGAAAACATTAGTGAAATGAGTAAGCTATGCATCCTTGTACCTCTCAACCTCCACGTAGAGCTTTGGCGGGAATAGAAGCGTAATTGTAGGTATATACAAGGCGTTTAATTTCAGTATTTATAAATGAAAAATGCATCTGAAAAATTCCTAGTTTTATAGTTAAATGCAAGCTAGTCCAGTCTATGTTTAGGGGTCAAAGGTCAATGGTCGTAGAGGTTTCCAATGCTAAGAGGTGATTTGACTGCCTATAAAGTTTTATACTTCATTTCTGATTATTTCTTCTTATCGTTTATCGGATAGGCATGGAATTTACAACTACTTACACGCATATCGCAAATAATTTTATTATTAATTCTTTGTTTAACACAACAAAACATTACATCTAGAGAAGAATGACAACTTTGTACAAAAAGGGGTTCCATGTATATAAGTTAGGCAGTGTTTTTTCTCTCTCCGCTTTTTTATTATACAAGTCAAAATTTTGTACAACCGTCTTCAATATAAATTATTAAGAATTACTCAAAAACTATTGGTCAAACCTCAATCAAATTGACCACGTGTGAAGCACTAGTTTTCAAATAAAAAAAGAATCTTCAATATCGGTTCACTCATAAGAGTTATGGCACACACGTTAAAAAAAACATACAGGCGAATTGAGTACCGTCTCCTTTTTGATGTTAGAAGAAAATAAGGGTGACAAGCGGGCACACAATTCTCCTGATGGTAAGTGGATGCTATGGGCCATAGACTTCTATATCCCCTCTATCCTCAATTAAGAATGAAAATAAAGATGCGTTGTGACTCCTGAGGACTAAGATAGAATGTCTCGTTTCCAGTAAAATATGCCTCTAATTCTATACACTGATCATACGAAACACAACAGTATTAAGCTGCTATTTTACGCTGGAATTCTGAGAGAGCGTGGTTTTCCAGTGGTAGACTGACCCATTCGTACTACAACCAAAATATAGTTGCAAAATGACTCTACCACTTAAAATATTTCAAGTTTCTAGGTAATACTAAATTATGTTTGTAAGAATAGAATAGAATAGAATGATTTTATTCAATATTGATTATTACATCATACTTATTGAAAGTCATTTTTTTATTTACCACTGGTTCGGAAAATACCTCTGTCCTAGGAAGAACCAGCAAGAAACCCAGCGGGACTTTTAAGTGTTGGTATAGCCACAGTATATTATAGTACATAATTTATACATATTTCTAATACCTCGTTAGTTTAGCTTTTTAGACGGAGCCCGTAACAAAACAGCATAACTAAAACTGGCCACTTTATGAGCCCCCTTTTCTATAATTTTTGAAGACATACCACATGATATGGTAAGATTCTCGGTTCACTTATTTCATTTTATTTCATCCAATTCCGTTTAGGCTCAACATTCCACACCAAGTATCCAAATTTTAGTTCTGTAATTTACTTCGTTGTCGAACTAGGAATTCCTGACATACGGATAGATAAACAGACAGACAAAGAGACAACAGATTAACATTAATAGAATCCTTTTACCCTCTGTGGACGGAATTATAATTTTTTTTGTAGATTTTTTTCAAATTGATAATACGTGCACGCTTCAGTTAATGCGATCGGAAACTTTGTGAAAGAAATTAAAATAATTAATAAACACCTACAATTCCGTGGTGTTAGGAATAATCATGGGCAACGGTTGTCACTTATTCCTTTTTTATATAAAAAAAGCAGTGAAGGAGTAAAAAATAAGCCCAAATTCACCAAACTAGGTAAAAACTTTCACTTAGTATAGATATTGTAAAATTGATAATGTTTAAAATTAATCCTACCACTGCATTAAGAGAGATTTTTCGCTATCAGTCGAACGTCAAAGCCTCGTTCGTCAATCAGCAGAGTGCATCGCTTTTAGATAAAGTTAGATTATGAAAAAAAAAACACATTTTTAGTTGAGTTCTGCTACACTATAGCTATAAAATGAATAAGAGATTTAAAGCCAAAATCATAGAACAATTCACAAGAATATATAATAAAATTTCTTAAAATATTTTATCAAAGAGAATTCAAAAATCACATTAAAAAACGTGTTAGTGCTCCAAACCTTAAAATATATTTCAGAAACCGATAGGCTTGTTAATGTTTTCCGTCCTGCATAGACCATTCTATATAATATTGATTCAGAAACTATTTTTGTTTTGATTCAGAAACTATTTTTGTTTTACAGAAGAGGGCCATTAGAGCTATATACAACCTAAAACCGAGAGAGTCTCTTAGAGATAAATTTAAGGAAATAAACTATATTAACTTTGGACTCTCAGTATATTTACGAAAATTTAATGTATGTTCACAAAAACAAAGCTAGTTTTAGTAAAAAAAGTGATATACATTCTGTAAACACTAGGAACAAACACAAGCTAGTGATACCAGTTTCTCGACTCCAGAGTCAGTTATTCATTCTTGGGACAAAGTATACGCTATTACAACAAGGTCCCGGAAAGTGTACAGGCTCTCTCTATTAGTAACTTTAAATGTTTTGTTAAGTTGAAACTGTATAAAAAGGGTTATTATAGTATAAATGAATACATGGTTGATAATAACCCATGGGAATGTGGTGATCGCTTCCAAGTTGTTTCTAAAATAAATTTTGTACTTATATAGTTTGTACAACCATTAATGTAAAATTTGCTTTAAAAAGAAGTCCCGCTGGGTTTCTTGCTGGTTCTTCCCAGGACAGAGGTATTTTTTCGAACCAGTGGTAAAGTAAAAAATGACTTTCAATAAGAATTACACATGTGATCTACATTCAATAAAAAATTATTCTATTCTATTCTATTAACTTTAAACTTTATAAAATAAAAAAGACGTGCGAATTTTCTTTCGCAGTTCCTTTTTCGGTCA